AACTTGGTTGAATCCAGGGTCTGGGAGAAAGAGGAAGACCTGCAATTAGACAGACGGACTCAGTGGCTGCAACAGTGGGCCCCCCAGAGACTGTGAGGACGGCACAGGACAGGTCACACTAGATGATTCTGTTACACAAAGGCCACCAGGAACGAGAACAAACCTGGTGGTACCTGACAACAATAACAACATGCCCTTCTGATACATCAAAACAGAGACGTAACTAACGTCACTACAAACCATAATGTCACTTGGTGTTAATAAAAATACAATAATATTGGGGCCCCAGAGAAAAAAGTATGAGTCATGTTGATTAGAGGACCTGGAGTTAAAGTTATTAGAGTTAGGGAAAGCTTTTAAAAAAAAAAAAACAATGACAACAATTGCACTGAATCTTAAAAAAAAGAGTGGTGCATGATGGGAAGGAAAATTAAAAGCATTTCACAGACAAGAAACAACTTGGTCACGTGTGCAAACCAGAACCCATGACATGATCATAGAGTGGCAACTACACAGACTCATACTACACAGGTGTCATGGATTGAATTCTGTACCCCATAAACACATTTAACTCCTGATCCAAGCCATCGTCTTTGCAATTACTTACTATGCATTAGAGAACTGGACAATGAATACGCATGACAGAAGAAGAATTGATGCCTTTGAGCTGTGGTGCAGAAGAAGAGTATTGAACATACATATACCACGGACTGCCAAAAGAACAAGCAGGTCTGTCCTGGAGAGAGTGAAACCAAGTTGCTTTCTGGATGCAAGGATTTTGATGCTCCACCTCCCATATTTTGGAAATACTGCCAGGAGGAACCGGTCCTTGGAGAAGAACATCATGCTTAGAAGGGTAGAGGGACAACGCAGGAGAGGAAGACCCTTGATGAGATGGATTAACACAGTGGCTGGGGTAATAGGGGCAAGTGTGTCGGAGACAGTGAGATTGGCTTAAGACAGGGCAGGGTTTAGAGCTATTGTACATAGGGTCATTATGAGTCAGAAGTGACTTGACGGCACAAAAAAAAAAAAAAACTCATATAATATGGAAACTACATAATGATCCCCCACAATCTGATAAAACAAATAATTGTAAAAGAACTAAGGTGGAATATATCGCATACAATATGGGAACTATGTAATGATCTCCTACAATCTGATAAACCACCGTAAGAACTAAGGTGGAGTATAATACTTCTTAATCTTATTACAGCCCTAATCCAATATAAGGGATGTTTCCCTGGCATGTGGCCTGTAACACTTTTCATCTCATGAGAGACAAAAAGGAAAAAAAAACAAGTGGAGAGAGGGGGCCTTAGAGCCACCAAGAAACAATCTCCAGGAACAGAATGCATCTTCGTAGACTCGCGTGTGTGCATTAGGAAGCTCATGACACCAGGAAAGGCCAGGACACATGATCTCCAAGGATGCTGAAGAAAACATAACCAATGGACAGAAAGGACCTTTCCCTAGAGCCAGCACCCTGAAATTGTACCTCCAACCTCCTAAACTGCAGGAGAATAAACTTCTTTTTGGTAAAGCCATCTATCTGTGCATCTCTAGCAGCACGAGATAACTAAGGCAGAAGAGAAAGTCACAGGAGACGACAGGAGCCAAGCCAATGCAGGTGGTGAGAGACTAGCCTTGGGTGCTACACTACAGGCTACAAAGGGAAGTCTCTGCAGCACTCTTAGCCAAGGAGCAACATCATCTCTGAGTTTCCAAAGGTAAGTCTGGCCTCAGGCTGAAGACTAGACTGGCAAATGGAGAACCAGCTTCAGCTATTTTCCTACAAGGACATTAGTGTGGAGAAGAGTTCTTAGTCACACTTTCCTCAGAGCACTTCACATCAGAAAGGATGACGAGATCTCAAATAGAATGAGCAAGCAGATTATTTTCTTGGATTCTCTCCTTGGCCTAGAGATGCTGCGATTAGGGCTCAGTGTTAGCTGTTGAGCTGAAGGGGGCTCTGTGACTGGCTTTACTAATATCTGTATCACATACATGAAAGTGAGAAAGAATTGAGCATGTGACAAAAGTAGAGCACCACTTAATTTTCAATATATAAAAGCCTCTACATCTATGTTCAGAGTAGCATTGTTCACAATAGCAAGAAAATGGAAGCAGCACAAATGTCCATCAACAAATGAATGGACTGAGAAATTGTGGTATATCCACACAATAGAATACTATGCAGCACTCAGGTGCAAGAGTTTTGTAAAACACTATTCAACTTGGAAGGGACTAGAGAGCATTTTGCTGAATGAAATATCTCAGTCACATAAGACATAACATCAAATATTGCACACAGCCACTACTGTGAAAATAGGAGGATAACTGGGTAAGATGTGTATAAATGTTCAGAAGAGAAAGGAGAGAGAGGAGACAGAAAAGGCAGAGGGGGAAATCACTGGAATAGCAGAGGTTAGTCAGCAGATGGGGTGAAGTAATGGGAAAGGTTCAATGAGGACTTGAAAATACAGGGTGATAATAGGCATAGAGCAATGGTAATCAATTATATTAAATACAATATTTATGAGTGATTGTATAAAATGCAAATTACATGCACAAAACATGATGTATATGAATGATTATATGCAAACTAATAAAAAAAGAATTTTTAAAAAAAGAATTATTTTACCATTTGAGATATACTCAAAGAACATAAATTTGGCCTGACCACATAAACTAAATGAACATCAATTTTCCTTATCATTTTAACTTTTATTATCATCATCACCTTAAAACTCTATATTGATCAATAATATCACCAAAGTAAAAGGCTGTACTACATAGTTAATAGATTAATAATCTTTCTAAATAAAAAAAGATACAAAAGCTTCATTCAACTCATGTCTAAGTGTTGATGATTATTTAGAAAGCAAAACTCTGTCCAAAGTATTATTTCATAAAAACTAATTTATTTTTTAAAAAAAAATTAAACTCCATACTTGAAAACATATTTTTAAATCATTCATTCTCTCCAGAAGTATTTGTATACCAATGTTCATAGCAGCATTATTCATCCCAAATGTCCAACCACAATCGAATGGAGTGAGTCAATATGATACATTCATGCAATGAAATACTACGCAGTATGCAGAGCAATGATTTTGTAAATCACCTAACTTGGGAGGGACCAGAAGCTTTATGCTGAGTGAACTCACTCAATCTCATAAGGACACATACTGTATAGGACCATTATTATATAAATAGATGACTAGTAAAATGTGTATAAGGATCTAAGGGGGGAGGTGGGAGCAAAGGGGTGAGGATGAGAGGTGGGCATTGGTTAATTATAGGGTTGCACAATTTGATGGGTAGAGAGAAGAGTGGGTAAAGCAAATGGGAAAGATCTGGTGTGAAAAACAATGTATATGAAATTTGTAAATAAAAAAGTTTATTTAGTCTTTTTTACACTATTTTTTTACCATTTGGTTTTTAAATAAAAATTTCATGTTACCAAGGCAAAAAAAACCTAATTTTTATGTCTCTAAAAATGGTAAATATCACATTGACTTTACACAGGTCATCATATAGTCTTGTTAACTTGAGCTTTCACTCTCTTATTTAACAACGTATACGTGACGGTCCACTGCATTTCCAAGGCTGTAAACCTTAAGGGCAGGTTACTCATCTTTCTCCCAGAGTTGCTCATAGATTTAAACCCCAACCTTTCCATTAAAAGCCCAACAACGCACAATGAAACAGGAAAAGAGTATTTCTAGAAAACACTCTTTCTCTACTTGAAATGTCCTTCACGTTCACCTACTGAAGACTTGGAACTTTTCCCATTCTAAGCTTCTTTTCATTTTCAACTTTTTGTAGATTCTAATCAAGGCTCTTGTTTCAGATAATACAGATAAAATTCTCATTTGACCACCAGTAATTGTAATGAAAAACGGAAGGTTCATTTCCCTATAAGTTCTAATGTCAAAAACCTAGTTCAGTGTATCTATGAACTAATAATCTTTTATTCATACTCATGCATTTTGCAACTCTTTATTAAGGACCTCCCTGTGACCTTTGCCCTGTATCCTGTCCTAGATACTGTGTAAGCAGAAGGGATGCAAAGATGCAAGTCTTCCCTCTCTCCACAGACGACAAGCTCCATGAGGACAGGTACTTTGCTCTAGTCGAATGAAACACTGTCTCAGCATCTATCTGAACCATTCCCAGCATCTGTCTGCACCATCCCCAACATCTGCTGTAGATCAGACCATAGTGAATCATACAGCTTTTATTGGCTGATTTAGGGGAATAGATATGGCCAGGCCTTTCTTCCTAGTCGGAAAGCTTTGCTCAAATCAATTCAGCATACAGAAACAAGCAAGCTCCACTGAAAACTGGGGGATAGTTGTTCATGAGGTACACTAGCTGAGCATCAATCACACGGAAGGAGGGAAATTCTACCAGTGAGCCGTCAAGGCTTTCATTGGTGTCTGAGAGACCACAGTAATACCCCTGACTGTATCTGTCTGCCAAGAGGCTAACAACCAGTGGAGGTGAGGAGTGAAGCTCAAAATAGTAAAGAAAAACAGAAATTGGAAATACTTTCAAATAAGCACAATACTTCCATTCACATGCACAAATCCCATCCCCCTCTCACACACAATGAAGATGCTCCGTAGCTCACTGCATGGTCTCTTTCTCATTTTAATTGCAATGCTTGGGAAAAGATAATCTCAATTCATTTCAAAAATAACTCCCATTCAATATAAAAAAATGGGATTATATTTTTTACACTTGTTAAATTGCTTTATTCATTTGATAATGAAGATGACTTGGCATATAAATAATTTCCAAATAAACTTTGGTCTAGCAAAAATCCAGACATGTATTCTTAGAAACTAAATGATTTTCCTCAGAAAGGCAAAAATGAGACTCTTCTTCCAGATAGATATGCTTTCCCCTTCTGGCTATCTTTAATCACAAGAAGACCAAAGTTCAAATTAAACAGGAGTCAGAACACTAGTGGATTCCCCGGAGGTACTCACTGATCCGTACAGCTCTCCTTTCTCGTTCATCCCGAGGTAAAGTCCACTGTCCACGCCTCGAATGCTGACCAGGCCCACTGCTATACTGATAAATTCCAGAATGCCTGTGGAACAAGTGGGAAGAGTCAGACAGCACAGCACATAGGACACAGCACACTGCCTGCAAATCTGAGCATCACAAGTAGTTTTTTTTAAAGGACAACAAGCCCAGACTCCAATTTTTATAACCCCTTCACACTAGTTAAAGAATTGCCTTCACTTTAAAAGAACTGCCTAAGGGAGCTCTGGTGGCCTAGTGGCAAGAAGCTGCGCTGCAATACCTAAGGCTCATAGTTCAAATCCAACAGATGCTCCTCCACTGGAGGAGGTGGACACTCTCCTCCTGTGCTAGTCATATCTGATTCGATGTTACGCAACAAAATTTTTTAAAAATAAAAAATATGGTGCAACCACTGTGGAAGGCAGTATGGTGCTTTATCAAAAAGTTACAAATAGAGATACCATTTGACCCAGCAATTCCACTACTGGGAATATACCCCCAAAGAGAGCAAAACTGACATCCAAGCAGATATATGCACACCCATGTTTATCGCGGCTTTGTTCACAATAGCAAGGAGTTGGAAACAACCTAAGTGCCCATCAGCAAACAAATGGCTAGAGAAGCTATGGTATATTCACACAATGGAATACTATGCTGCATTGAAAAACAAGCAACTCATGCAATATTATTCAAAATGGATGACCCTGGAGGACATTATGCTGAGTGAAGTATCTCAGTCACAAAAGGACAAATACTGCATGGTGCCACTGTTGTAAAGCAGGACTGACCTCGGGGTTGGAGGGAGACTGAGAAAGATGGGTTCAATAATGTATACTGCATTGAAACAGATGAGGGAGAAAACGGTTTAAGAGGGAAAAATATTAGTGATTTTTGTCATGACAGGAATCCAGAGTGAAGGCTGTATAGTGGAGGAGAGCTCGGGGAAGGGATTGTAAAACAATGAAAGAATTTTTCTTTCACTTTTCAAAGAGGGTAGTGTACTAGAGGGGAAGGTTGGGAGGGGAGAAAAGTGCAACAATGAATGAATGGAAATCCAAAGTTTCTGTAAATTTTCATTGAAATTAATAATAAATTTTTAAAAAGAAAAATCATAGTATGCACCAATTAAAGAATGCAATTTTCTAGGTAAAATGTAAGCAAACGTTGTTGTTGTGTTAGTATACAATGAAGAGATATGTTTCCTAATGATGTAACAAGAAAGTTTCATTTAAAAAAAATTTAAAAATAAAAACAAGGAACTCATTATTATTATTTATTATATTATTATTATTATTATTATTATTATTAAAAATGGGTGACCCTGGAGGACATTATGCTGAGTGAAGTATCTCAGTCACAAAAGGACAAATAGTGCCATGATGCCACTGTTGTAAAACAGGACTGACATCGGGGTTGGGGAGAGACTGAGAAAGATGGGTTCAATAACATATACTGCATTGAAACAGATGAGGGAGAAAATTGTTTAAAAGGGATATGTGATTAGGTATTTTTAACAGGACTGACATCGGGGTTGGGGAGAGACTGAGAAAGATGGGTTCAATAACGTATACTGCATTGAAACAGATGAGGGAGAAAATTGTTTAAAAGGGATATGTGATTAGGTATTTTTGTCACTACAGGAGTCCAGAGCGAAGGCCGTATAGTAGAGTGGACCTGGTGGAAGAGATTATAAAACAATGAAAGAATTTTTCTTTTACTTTTCAAAGAGGGTAGTGTACTGGAAGGGAAGGTTGGGAGGGGAGAAAAGTGCAACAATGAATGAATGGAAATCCAAAGTCTTGGTAAATTTTCATGGAAATTAATAATAAACTTTTAAAAATGTAAAGAAAAAATTCTCATTATTACTCTCTCACATGAGTATACAATAGAATTTTCCAGCGGCTAATAGAATATGTTATACTGTTACAGAGCAACTAAAAGACCACTATTTGAGACCTGTTCATCAAATAAAATAAACTAGAAACTTAAAAAAAAATTAAAAAAAAGAGCTGCCTAAAGGAACTGACATTTTAATTATACTTAGCAACATTTATATCAAGATAATGATTTACATCCTGTGGCACTCAACAACAAAATAACCAATATAGTCCAATTAATTTAAAGACAGTATCAACAGAGAAACCATTTCCACATTATATATGTGAAAATAAGTATTTGCATGCATGTATACCAATAATGCTGTCTATTTAGAAAATTATCCTCTAGCTCTCAAAACAAGACTCAGAAGTAACACCAAAGCCTCGATTGGCTTACATAGGAAATTATACAGCCCTCTATTGTAAAATCTTATTGAGCTCCATCTGGAGACCTGGAATAGCCTACCCATATCCCAAATACTTCTGCTTTTAAAAAACATACTGGCTTTTTGCTTCTTTCATCCGAACCCCAAAGAAGAACTAAACAACTCAGATAACATTGTTGGGAGGTGGTCACACTCAGTTCAAAAATGCTCTTGATTTAATGAGTACTCGATCTGATCCCGTTGTTCGGCTTAAGCCCAGCAGAGCTTGTGAGGATGATGAGGGATTGAGTGATGTTTTTCATTCTGCTCTCCATGGGATTACAGAGTCAGATTCAGCACAATACCAACTAACAACAACTATATATTTTTTAAAAAAATCAGAACACAGCATGGTCTTTTACTTTCTTCTTTCTCCTGGCTAGGGAGCTCTGGTGCTGTAGTTCCTAGGGAGTTAAGCTGCTAACCTAAAGTTTCAAATCCATCAGCAGCTCTGAGAGAAATAGTTTCCTCTCGTGCAATTTACAGCCTTGGAAACTCACTGTAGAATCTGCTATGAGGAGGTTCCGACTGAACAGCAGTGAGTTTTCTCCCCTTGCTAACCACACGAAGAATAATAACACGCAAACAGGGGCAAAGATCTAGAATTCTACGTCCACACAAACAGCTTCAATTTCTCTAACTATTGTTGTTTCAAGATGTTGGTCACACAATGTATTTAGAGCAAAGCTAGTATTACCCATGCTCAGCCATTTTCGTATTTGTGCCAAGAAGTTAAACTGCTACACTCTGTCAAATGCTGAGGTCATTTTGAGCTCTTGGTTTAAAAATATCCTCAAATATTGAAGAAAAAAAATTACTTAAGGTTCAGAGTTCTGAAAAACATCAAGGGTAATATTCTGCTACTGTTGGTCTCATGTGACTAATAAAAAAAGCACTTAAATGGATCTTTAAACAATTAATTTTGCATCCCTTACAAAACAGACTATGTGGCAATCCATAGAAGATGTGGACTACAGAAATCTAATATAGCCAGGATTAAAGTCAGAAGAAAAGTCCCATGTGGGTAGTTATCTTAGAAAGAAGGACAATTTCTTATTAAAGTATCTCTACTTCATTTATGTGAAAAAAGGCAACAAAGATTACATGCATACACTGCCCAAAAACATTTTTCTAGGCTTGAAAATCCATTTTCCTAATAAAAGGTGGGAAAATACAAAGAGAAATTACAAGTTGTACTGTGGTTCTGATCATCAATGCCTCCATTCTGGAAGATGCAGTTAAAATAAGCTAGTATGTGACTAATCTTCTACTTCATAAAACCTACAGAGGTGTGCCAAGTCAATGCCCCTTCATAATTCACTTCACACAAGAAGATACCTCTTTTAAAAGCAATCATGTCATTTTCGTGAACAAGATATAACTCTTGCTGTTGTTGTGTATCACTGAGTCATAACTGACTCAGAGCTGACCCTGCAGCAGGTTTTCATAGGCCGTATAATGCAAAGGAGTTCACTGCCCATCTACCTTCCATGAAGTATCCGATGGATTTGAACCATGTACCTTTGTGTCACAAACTCAACTTCCTAGCAAGTCACTAGAGCTCCCTCTTAGAACGCGTATGTGCTTCTTTGAAGCAGTAGCATAGTACAAGTTTTCAGCTCTCCTGAAAATGGAAATTGGTTAATAATGTTCAGTTTTCACTATGAAATGAAATGCAGGGAACATTCTGCCCCATTTGAAGTCTAAATAATTTCATTTACCAGGTCAATGAAGGAAAGTTTACTAATGAAACAGAAAGATACTTGCATTCACTAAAAGGGCATTTGATAATCTTCTCATTTTCCCTAAACATGAGGCAGCTCTGAGCACGAATAATGAATGTTAGTCAAAACTATCATCAGAACAGCAAAGGACAGGAACGGTGTGATTTCACAAAACCATTTAACCGTCTGATCTGCCGAATGGTGAGAATTGTAACAGCAACAATAACAATAATTTCCAGAATACTTGAGCAATTGGTGGTGGTAGGCTGTCATGCTGGAACCCACTCATGGCTAATTCTCCAGCAAGTTTTCAGAGGCTGTAAATCACACAAGAGGATTTTTTTTTTCCCTTGGAGGAGATGGATTTGAACCATAAACCTTTGGTTTAGCATTCCAATTCCTTACCACTAGGCCACCAAAGCAGTTCGTCTGTGGAGGCTTTCTCTCATTTTATCGCTGAACAAATCTCTCAAACTCAAAACTCAAATTCACTGTTGTGGAGTCAGAACATAGCTGCTTTCAGACTAGGAGACACCAGTAGATTCGAAGTGCCAGAGAGGCACCGTGTTTGGGTTAGTTTAGAACTTCCAACACACTAGGCTGCCAGAGCTCCAGTAAGAACACTAATCATTACAGTATTCAAACCTTCAATTCACATATGGAGAAACTGAGTTAAAAGGCGGTTAACCCTTTCAAGACATTATTATCTGTGTTGGTTTTTTTGTTGAAACCATTATGTTTTCAGTAATAGAAAGTATTTTGGTCTTTTTGTTCATTTGTTTGTTTTTACTCATTCATTGTTGCACATTTTCTTCCCTCCCCCTCCTTACTTCCTTCTCCAGCCACTCTGCAATACACTGGAAGGCAGTTTTAGTAAAATTAAGACATACAAGGATTTTTATAGTTAGTGGGACATATACGTCCCATGAGGCATCTGGTGATGTTAATGGCATGAAGTCTGACTTTTCAGATTCATTCATACAGACCCCCTGATGAGAGTATGCACTAAAAATGGGATAGAAGGTTCCCATTAAACCC